AGGGGGGGAGTGAGTCATAAAGCGACACTTTATTTGACGTGAGATTGTATACGGATATCCGTGAAATGTAGTCCGTCCTGAGATGTGGACGCATTTCTGAGAGAGAGGGCAGTAGCTCGAGGAAAACTGTGACGTATTCGAGGAACAGATAAAGTTCAAGGGGAAATATAACAGAACTTCTTGTTACGGACATATCTCTCAACTGCGGACAGTTTGTGACGGTGGGTTTTGCCGCTTTAAACTCTAACTTGGGAAAAACGGGGCGGTTGCAAAACTTGTGCGCTTGACTCTGGGAAATTTCATTGACTGGGAATTGGTTCGGAGCAACTCGCTTGGCTGCCATGAAGGAACTTGTCACGGGTTCCAACGGGTACCAACCAGATCTGCAGCTATTGGATAGGGACACTTTTCACACGTTGATTCTTGTTTTCATATCGTAATTATAAATCTACGATGTAAATCGAATTACAAGGATACGGAGACTCTCTATTTAGGATAGCGAGGTACAAGATTACGTCATCTTAGGAACAATTAATTGAAAGTAGCATGAATAAATTCAGCTGCATAATAAGTGAAGGCAGCTTGAAGCCTTGATAAATTCAGCAGACGAATGGTGAAGTTTCCAATGTACATCTGCAGATTGTATTCACAACTTAAGAAACTGTATTAGGGCAGCTTACAATTCAGAGTGTTTTCAGCCTAAAAAGCTGTGGACAGGCAGCTTGTATCATTATAAATTGAACTAAGGGAAGATTAAATTTACTTTTTTGCACAATTTTGTTTGATCAGCGTAAACTACGGATAATTTGAATAAGATAATTTTAGCTATCTGAAATGAATGAGTTGCGAATATCTAATATGCACAATTTTCAACTATCTTAATTAAAGCGTTTAAAAATATTGCTAGATTGTATAAAATATGTAATATTTTTTGGAAGGAATTTGCTGTTTCAATGTACCTTAGGTTGGCGATTTTTCAGTCTATTGTCCAAAATAAACTGATGTTATCTTATCTACCATTAATTGGCC